CAGCCAGAACAGATTCCACCGCCAGTGCTGCGTACTCGGGACGGCATCATTGATGGAAAAGTCGCCTTGGCTGCGGTCCAGCTCACGCCCCGCCCTATCGTTTGCAGGGACCATGACTGTACTTATAAACTTTCTTGCTCACCCGTATTAACTCTTTTGGCGTTATCTTTTCTTTTTGAGCGAGAATGGTTTTTTCATCGTTTATGCGATTCCAAGGCAATCCGATATGAAGTTCGATAAGCATATGAAGCCAGGACCACAGGTCGTCAACCCGACCCTGTTAAATGTTTGCCTTCCGACCTATCAGTGAAGCTAAGAGAGAACCTTCCAAACCTGCTCTTTTCTGTAGTGAGTATTCAAACTACAGTATCTCGGAGTGCCTCGGAATAGTTGGTCACCATCTCGTGGTTTCCGAATGGCGAGTTTGCCATTTTCGTCTTTAGCCACGAAAGAGCGGGCCATACCTTAAAGTATCTTGATCACTATTCGTTTTATTTTTGGTGGAGATATGACATTGGTAAGTTGCTCGCTAACGCGCACCCCCCCCCCCTCCGGAGCGCATCCTGCCCAGGCGAACGAGGTTTTTCGTTCTCCCAGGATCGATTAGCTGGTGCAACTAAAAGGGGGATTATTATCTGAGTGCACAGAAGTAATTAAACAGCTACCGAAGTCTATCAGGTAGATCATTCTTGAGTCCCGTCCATATTTTCCTATCATGCAGTTCCCCGGTTTGACGTCGCGATGAACATAGCCGATTTCATGTATCTGAAATCTAATAATCTTCTAGACGCGATTTACATACATCTAAGGATGAGCACCTGTTTTATGGCATACAGCGTGCTTATAGCAAGCCTTAGTATAGTGCTTTCTGAGAACGGTCTACCGGCTTGACGTTTCAGAGACATAAGGTCTTTTCCACACAATGTCATCACCATGAAACTGAAAAGGGTGGTTTTGAGATGGAGTAGCACCTATCTGCGAAACTCAAACGGTGCAAAGAAGAGTAGTGGATGCTTATAGTGCTATCGCGGTTTGCGTCATCGATGCAAACGTTGTCGACGAAGCGCTGCTGCCAGGTTGAGTAGGTTGGGTCTTGGTGCGGTTGTCCCACTTGATGCGCCTATTCTGCCGCATTCGCCGCGTCTGGGAAGTAACCCTCTACAGCTGAACAATTCAGTGTTTCGATGGTAACGAATCGCGGTTAAGATGGGATGTTCTCACATCGAAGTAGTCCCGCAGCTATGGTAAAGTAGTTTTCACATACTCTAGTTCGCTGCTGATGAAGGGGAGTGTCAGGCAGTATGAGTGTGCCACGGCGCCAAACCCACTGAAGTGGGTATGCGACAATGCTTTGTAGAAAACGAGAGATACGAACGATATGACACAGTCTTGTCATTTGCTCGCTTCAACAACTGGTGAAGAACGCGTTTGGTAACCCACCAAACACATCTCAACTAATCCGCTCCTTTGTCCGCTGCGTACTAGACTATATTTGAGTCCTAATGGCCTTTATCAGTCATTACCGACAAATACGCATTTACATTTCGTTGGATCTTGAGAATCTAGCGCTGGTGGAAACAATCTATTATAGATTCTTGGGTAAGGACATAAATTGGCACTATTTACCCTTTACTGCCCCAGTCATCCGAAATCAGGCCAGTTCCTGACCGACTTTTTTCTCCGTGGGCAGATTTTGCTCAAATATTGTCTCCTGGGGTAGTTTGACCTCCAGAATACGAATATCACATTCGCTCAGCCCGAAACTTCCTGGCGCCCGCGCCACAGGCGCCAATGATTTGGGGTATTTTGGCGCCGGTGCCCGTGGTGCGGCGCCAGGAGGTTTCGGGTTGAGCGGATGTGATATTCGTGTTCAGGGGGTCAAACTACCCCTGGGAGCAAGTTTTCAGCGAATTTGGTGATTTCGAGTATTTTGGCGCCGGCGCCCGTGGCGCGCGCGGGCCAGGAGGTTTCGGGTCAAGCGGATGCGATATTCGTGTTCAGCGGGTCGAACTACCCCTGGAGCCAAGTTTTCAGCAAATTCTGCCCACGGAGAAAAAAGTCGGTCAGGAACTGGCCTGATTTCGGATGGCTGGGGCAGTAAAGGGTAAATAGTGCCAAAATAGTGTACTCCATGAGCCTCTTGGCCATTGACATTTGAAAGACAGTGGCCGTATTTTGCGTAAAAAGTGTAGAGACTGGCTCCTGTTGATCCCAGTTGGTCGCTATCACTTCTATCAGCGATCCTCTCCCACCCTCTGTGGGTTCACTCCATGCCTTCCGACACTGCCCGCCGGATTGCAACAGTACCGTCTGGCTGTTGTTGTCACTTCGTGTCGCCCACAAATGATTTTTTCCTCTCCAACCCACCCCCCCCTCCTATGTCAGATTTTCTCCCTGCTGCTAGATTGACGTTATGAACATGTTGCCTTTCTTTCCGACGCCCCTTGTCGAAGAGCGGTGGTCGAGATGAAGATAATTCAATCAGATAACTCCGATTCTGCGCAACAGTTTTATGCAGCGCGAGCGATATAGATTTGGTACCAGAGCTTATACATACCAGTCGCATGCGGATTTGCCGCGTGCTAAGTTAAGGATCGTTGACCAACCACACTGTTCAAAGGAATCTTCTGCATCAGCCAAGAACTGAAAAGCAGCGCTTGTTCCGTCAAGGCGCAGAAGCAGCAGCAGCGCCCCCCCCGCATCACAGAAGGAGGAAAGCCGGCCTTAGCCAGCGATCCGACTGGTACGTTCATAACCTACACGGAAATAGTGCAGCCTGTTTGGACAGCCACTGAAGCAGCCTATAATTTATGCAATCTGTCTTCCTAAAGCGTCTTGCTTTGGAATGCACTACCGCATTCAGCAGTGGAACCCTTTAAATGGCCCTCACTGAAGTTGCTGATGGAAGATAATTGTGGTAAGAGTGATAAAGTCAGTTGCTGCTGTTCATAACATCTCTGTAAACAAACCACATGCATTTGGAATAGAGCTGGCTTAGCGGTGTCGTTACTAATAAGCAGTGAGGAATGAGTTCTGTTGGAATCACTGAGATCGTTATACTTGAGTCATATCGATCGCATTGTTGTTGTGAGCGGTGAAGCGGATTTTCCCATGCTACCTTGTCAATTTTAGCTCCTATCACTTCCGTACCCGCCAATAACACTCCCGTCCCGTATCACTATCATATCACCCTGTATCGCCTCTCGGAGAGAGTCCCACTGTTGCTGTAACCTGCGTTACGAATCTGATGACCCTCCCCTTCCGAGGCCGCTTACCGTATCTTATCAACTGTTATCACTTTCTGTCGCCCGCCAATAATGTTCCCGTCCCACACCCTATATCACCTCACGGATCTGAGTTCCCACTGTTCCTGTGAGCCGCACTGTGAATTTGGTAGTCCTTCCCTTCTAATGCCCATTATCAGATCTTATCAGCTGATATCAGCTTCTGCCAGCCCCACCCTACGGCATATCAGTACTTGAAATCATGGTCCCGCCGTTGCTGCAACTTGCCACGAATTCGGTCACCCTCCCCTTTTAAGGCCCCTTATCGAATCTTATCAAGTGTTATCACCTCCTGTCACCCAAAAGTGTTCCCGTCCTGCCATGTATATCACTCCTTGAAATCACGGTCCCGCAGCTGCTGCATTTTGCGCTAGATGTTGGTCACCCCCCCCCTTCTAAGGCCCCTTATCGAATCTTATCAAGTGTCATCACCTCCTGTCACCCATCAAAAGTGTTCCCGTCCTGCCATGTATATCACTCCTTGAAATCACGGTCCCGCAGCTGCTGCAACTTGCGCTAGATGTTGGTCACCCCCCTTCTAAGGCCCCTTATCGAATCTTATCAAGTGTTATCACCTCCTGTCACGCACCTAAAGTGTTCCCGTCCTGCCATGTATATCACTTCTTGAAATCACGGTCCTGCAGCTGCTGCAACTTGCGCTACGAATTCAGTCACCCTCCCCTTCTACGGCCCCTTATCGTATCTTATCAAGTGTTATCACCTCCTGACACCCACCAAAAGTGTTCCCGTCCTGCCATGTATATCACTTCTTGGAACTGTCATCCTATCTTTTCTGCGACGCTCGCTATGAATTTCGTGACACACACACACACACACACACACACACACACACACACACACACACACATAGCCGATTATATATAGTAGGATTTTTCGTCTTTGACAAGTGTGAGATACTTTGCGTTTCTTGTCTCTGACGAACAATGGTTTGTTGGTTTTCGGGCCACATTATCGAGAGAGATGAGCCCATTCGTGGCATCCAGTGGAAGGTTTACTTGGGAGATCGGGTCAACGCACGGCGCAGCTGCTATCTCAACATGACGACGGAGCCGCCCATCGACTCTATCTCCCAAGCTAACTCTTTCTGCGATGTGGCGACTGACAAGTAACGCTCTAGATCCGAGCTAACCATAAGCCCCATCAAAAACCTATGGTAGGGCGCGCTGAAGTGCAATTTTCCGTCGATCTCTCTTATTTTGGGCTACAAGGGTTAGCAAGGAAAACTTTCGCTTTGTACATTTGATACGTAGAAACGTACTTGTATTTGTGACGTTTTCCCGAGTCATATAGCTTTACGGTGTCCTTCATTTTTTGTAGTTGTTGAAGTATGTACACTTCTAATTTCAAAACACCACCTTCGTAAAGATCATCCTCAACCTGAAACGAAGTCTTCGAGGAAAAGACACACTAGTATCACCAACGCGTCCAAGACCGCCCACTAGCCTTCTACTTCAGAATGAGTGTTGATTCTGATTATGCATCAGAACTGAATTCTCTTACACACAAGCTAGTGGAGCGGTTCAGTAAGTGTAAACAGCATGGTCAAACCTTCAGAGCAGCCTGAAAGTTCTTGCGATTTTTGTCTTCTACTCTGTATACAGCTCCCATACCACCTTCTCCGAGTTTTTCAAGAATTTTCCATCGTCCCGCAATAATCTAGAAGGATTGGAAGGATTGTGGCGTGAACAACGGCAACATCAGAATTCACTTGATGCTGAGCTCATCTGCGGCAGGTGAGTGCACCTCTCTTGCTCCCTACTTAGGCATACAGTCGTCTTCGTCACTGAGAAGTGTCAGGGGGCTGTGTTCAGCGCGGCTTCAGCCAGTTCGCCACCTATCGTCGTGCCGGGCAAGCTATGACAACTGGTGACCGAGCCCCTCCGCTTGCCCTGCGTCTACAGTTAGAGCTGAGCGCAGTGCCAAACGGGACTATCAACAGCGGAGTAGTCTCAAGTGACTCGGCAGGAATCAGTGACATCAAGGTTGCCGGTGTCTTCATGTAGCGTACGATTCCTGCATTTCACGGGGTAGCAATGAGCACTGCTCCGTGCCACTGCTCCGTGCCTTGACATCGCAACAATCAAGAATCCTACCTTTCCATGTGATAACTTCTTATAATCTTCATGGTCAGCTCCTTTGCCCATTAAGCCCCGCCAGCGTTAAGTGATGGCTAGTACTAAATGAATCATACCCGGTATGATTCCCTCCAAATACATGAGAGACACAAAGTATCTGGAATGTAAACAAGCTCTCATCAGGAGGATAACTGCGTTACTGTAGCTGGATGTTGTGGTACTGTATCATTACTGGACATACGTATTGGGCGCCACGTTAGTCAGAAGAACATAGTGTACTGGTAAATGTCCCGATCTCCGCGTGGTCCAAATATCA